TTCATTTTCATTTCATTTTCATTTTATTTTATTTTATTTATTTTATTTTATTTTTTAATTTTCCTTATGGCAGTCCTAGGCCACTATAATATGGTCTTATATTGTTATAATATACTCTGACATTCATTAGAATTTAGAGTGGGTGAAAAATCATGAATTCACAGCAAAAAAGACCGATCGCTAAATGTTGTAGTGAGGGGAGTTTGAGGTCGTTATAAACTTATAGTCACAATTAGCACAATTCCATGCCTAATTTTGGCTCACGCTCCATTAGGAGTGTTCCCAACTTTGATATCATTAATGATTAAATGATTAATGATTGATAATCCTAACCCTAACCCTAACCTAAATGACATTAAACCACAAACTATGTATATATATATATATGTTATTATGACCATTAATGACCTTAAAGTTGGGAACACTCCTAATGGAGTATCACCCCTAATTTTCGAACCATGGACAAATATCGATAACAGTAAAACGATATGATTGTAATATTAAAATTTATTTAAACATTGTTTAAACCTATTGACATAAAAGCAATGGAAAATGAAATATATAATACAATCATGAATATATGTATCAGAAAATAATTAATTATATAATACACCCTATCATCCTATGCATAACATAGGTCGATAGCATTCAAGCAGATATGTAATAATTTTTTTAAAAACCCGAAGTACCAGTCGATTCCAAGCGTCCAAGGAAATAACACATCCGGTCGAAAAAGTCCCATATAAAACTTCCCGTTTCCCGTGCGTAAACCTACCCTGGTTAATCGTAAAATCGTTTTAACGTTTTCCACTACAATCCGCTGTACCGATCTATCGATATTATCGACTCCCACTCTCTCTGTCTTCCGTATACACTGCTGATGAATCGATATGATCGACTCACTTTTACAGATTTTAGTATATATACACTGCCAATGTATCGATATGATCGACTCTTACTCGCTCTGTTTTCGCCGCCGTCCGCTCGCCGCTCGCAGCCCACCACCGTCCGGCTGTGACCGCTATGCTGCAGGTACAGCGGCGGCACGAACCGACCCTCCTCCGTCGCGGCGGCGAAGTGGCGCTGTACGTAGTCTACGAGTAGCGGGTGCGTACCGCCGGCAACCGTCGCCTCGTGGAAGTCGACGACGTCGCATCGCAGGCGGCGGCGCGCGAGCGCGACAACGACGTCGGTGGCGCCGATCCAGGCAACAGCAGCTACATGATACAAGCGTAAATGAGCGAGTAAAGTAACCGAAATGCAAAGAGAGAGATACAATTGCTAGATTAGTTGACATAGAATAAATGTAACAAGGGCAACTTTACATCAGAAAGTAAACGTGACTGTAGAGCAATGGCGCTGCAAACTACAAACATTATACAACAACCGTCAGAAAGTACGAAGTACTGAAAGAACAGCTGACAATATTTAAACAACGCTCCAAGTAGGTTATGTATTTCATTTACTCATACATATATAATATAATATTTTATTTGTAAACATTGCATTTTTATTAAGAAAATACATTTAAGATTATTATTTTACTCGATATCTATCGACC